ATTGTCTATCTCTTTGCATTAGATTATAAGCTTAATGAAACAGGGACTTTTTAAAAACAAATAAACAGCTTTACTGAAATATCATACTAGAGGCCTGGTGCACGAATTTGTGCATGGGTGGAATCCAGCCAGCCTGCCCCGTTTGGCCAATCGCAGCCGGCAAGCCAACACTGCCCCCCTCAGGCCTGTTGGCCAGCTGCAGTATGCATCATAACGACAGTTGTTTTGGTCTTTCTGTTCATTCCAGTCACTGGCTTTTATATATATAGAGACCATGTAATTCACCTATTTCAAGTATGTGATTCAATGGTTTTGGGTATATTAAATAATTTTTAATGAAATTTGTCATTTTAGCCATTTTTAAGAGTATAACTCAGTGGCATTAATTCGCAATGCTGTGCCACCATCACTACTTTTTCCAAAAATTTTAAATCATCCCAAATAGAAACTATAAGCATTAATAACTCTTTCACTTCCCCTTCCCCCAGCCCTTAGTAACCTCTAATCTACTTGCGATCTCTATGAATTTTCTTATTCTAAATAATTCATAGAAGTAGAATAATACAATATTTGTCCTTTTGTGCTTACCTTATTTATGAGGAAGTGATCTTGGGTGTTTTATTTATTCCTCTGTCAGTTGAAATCTAACTCAGTACATAGAGGGTGGGGCCAAAGTAGGTTTATAGTTGTTCAGATGGAAAATAATACAATAATTAGCAAATAACACCTCAATAGTAAAATCTGTTTCAAGTACTCACAACTGTAAATCTACTTTTGCCGCACCCTATATTCAGCTTATGGATGCTTAACAAATATTTGTTGAATCAGCCAACTCATCAATTTTAAGCAAGTCACAACTTTTCTGAAACTCAGTTTTTTAGCCGTGTGATGGTGCTATATCACAATTCATTCATTTATTAAAATATCTTTCGAGAATTTGTAGTGTTTCAAGCATTGTGCTTACTCATGAAAATCTCATAACATGCAAAATGGATATTCAGTTCCTTTTATGTTTGGGAAAGTCATCTTTTTTGATTTTGTGCAGGTTTAGGATGGAGATATAAAAAAACAATGAATACGTCAGATTATGTGATACTACACTGGAGTGATGGATGTCAAAAGCCATTCTGTTTTCAAATTCATTTACTATTAGCTGTTCTTTTCATGTTGTAGGGTGATAACAGGGTCGCATGAATATTTATGTATGGGTATCATAAACTATAAAGCTCTCCCTAAGATAAAAGTATTGTAATTTTTTGATTTACTACTTTTTATGCCTTGGGAACTAAAAGCTATACACAAATTCTAATATACTTATAAAAACTTACTGACAATTATGGCAGGATCTGGCTTTTTAAGTCAATGTTAATTACACTGCACCTGAATTTTGCCAGGTCCATTCATATGGCGTTAAATGCTGACCAACGAAGAGTGCTATTTCCAGACAAAGGGCTGACACTTGAAAAATATTAGCAAACGGTGCTAAAAAAGAGCCATTTTGCTTTCTGCACTTGCAGCACCAGGCCAGCACACACACCTTCAGACAGCAATGACAGGAAGAGGGCAAGCAGGCCTCACTAATCCTCTCAGCTCTTCAAACAACACTTTAGGATTTCTACTTGAAGGCCTGTCTTTCTAAGCTTGTGCTTTCAAAACTTGGGCTGGACTGATCCCAAATACTGAAGTAACAAATATTACTAAATTCTGTCATTTCCTCTACCAAAAAAAAGTGATTTTACTACTACTTCTGGTTGTGATGAAAGGTCCTATTGACTATTCATTCAAATCCTTAACCGAGCTATGGATTCGGTATTAAATGACTTCACTACTTCTTCTCTGGCACTTAACACATGCCAGTGCTTTCATCCACCTCCACTAACGTGGCTTACAGATTACTGAGGTGGGGCCGTTTTAATAGTGTGATTTGTTCACATCTCTAGAGATGGGATATAAATGAGACTGGCTCAGAAGACAAACTCCCCTTTGACAACATGTACTGGGATATATGTTTAGAAAATGAACCTTCAAAAGTTAGAAATATCTTCCTGATATACTACCTGGTTAGAAGCCGTGATAATTAATGGTTCTTTGATTTGCTATAAGTTGAAATGTAATAAAGTGATGGTGGAAAGGCCAAAGACAGAATGAAACATTCCCAAGAAATAGTAAGAGGTGGAAAGAGTTGAAGCAAAGAAAGGTTAAAGGGCATAAAGTTGCTAAAAGTTTCTTTCTAAATGCTAAGAAAGGGGCTTCCTGAATGAACTCTGAAACCTAAGGAAGTATGTTTATGAGAAGCTTTTGTCCTCTCCTTTTAAAACTGCTACAATAGCTATAAAAAACCCACAGTGGTTAACCTATGAATCTTAAACAAATGTAACCTCTCATTTTCAAAAAGAGTATAAAGTTACAGATGATACAGAATTACTAGAAGTAATCCAGTTTTTAAACAGATGAATAAAATTAGTTCAACCTGCTTGTGGCTTTGGTTCAGTTAAGAATAAAGTCAGAGGCTACTTGGGAAGTGCTCCCCAGTGAGGACCAAACAGATACTAAGAGCCTGATGTGGAGGGCTGACTTCACCCAATTTTCCATGCACACAATCAGCCTCCATCTGTGTCCTGTTTTCAAAACAAGCTGGATTATTCTTAGAAAGTCTTTTCACCAACTCTTGGCATTCCTATTGGGTCCTAAGAAGAAAGAACTGGCCGAAGCCGGTTTGGCTCAGTGGTAGAGCGTCGGTCTGCGGACTGAAAGGTCCCGGGTTCGATTCCGGTCAAGGGCATGTACGTTGGTTGCGGGCACATCCCCGGTAGGGGGTGTGCAAGAGGCAGCTGGTCGATGTTTCTCTCTCATCGACGTTTCTAGCTCTCTATCTCTCTCCCTTCCTCCTCTCTGTAAAATATCAATAAAATATATTTAAAAAAAAAAAAAAAAAAAAAAAGAAGAAAGAACTGTGTGCATGCATGCATGTGTATGCATGTGTGTGTACGTGTACGTGTGTGTGTGTGTGTGTGTGTGTGTGTGTGTGTCTGGGACTTATGAGAAAATCCAGCATTTTGGCCCTAGCTTTAATTAGGAGTAGTTTTCACCTGGAATCTTCTAGCAGCCTTTTAACCTAGGGCCTAGGTGTTTAGAGCAAGAAAAGGAAAATAGAGAGAAGAACCTCTGAACTCAGATCAGAACTCAGTTATACTAAATGAGGCCAATGTTATTAATATCCTGACTCCCGGACTCTGGACCCCAATATCCATGTCCCCTAATTTACTTAGACTTCTTTTTCCTTAATGCACCCTCAGTCTGGTCAGTTCTGTCTCAGCACCGCCTTTTTCAAAGTATGACAACTGTGGTCAGTAGTGTAAGCTTGGCAGCCTTGAAATGCAAGTCCTGTTTCTTAGACAGAGATGCTTTTCTGCCAAAAATGGAGAGAGGGAAAGCGTCAGTTGTGGGAAGAATGGCACATGGAAAGATGAGTCACAGGTCAGAGGCTCGGAGCAAGACTGCCTGCCTGGAGTGCAGAACATGAGCTGGAGTGGTAGTAACAATAAAAGCAGTGTGACCGCGGGCAATGAGTGTGAGGTTTTAAAGCGAGTGATTAATTGAGGACCTCAAAGAAGAAATTTTATCCGATGGCAGAAAAGGATAAGAATCTTAATAAAAAAACAAAGTAGGAAATAAAACATTAAACTGAGATCAAATGAGGAGAAAAAAGGCAAAGATGATACCATATGAAGAAATAATTTTAGATATACCAGGAATGACTAAGGCAGGTGTTGGCAACCTGTGGCTCCAGAGCCGCATGCGGCTCTTTTGAAGCTTTACCGCAGCTCCGACAACTTGCAAGCCTGTGTGAAAATGAAGGTAACGTCTTACAGCCCTGATGTTTTGACACTGTGCACTGGGGTTCAGGAGCAAAAATCCCATTAACTAGGTAAGTTAAATATTTTAATTAGCTATTAATTTGCAAAAATATATTTTACATTGTTAAGTGAAAAAGTCTTTTTTTCCTTCAGATTGACAGCTAACTGCATGATCTAAGGTCAGAAACAATATATGCAGTGCTATATTTGTTTTAAATGTCGCAATGGTTTTGCGGCTCCCAGGTTTTTTTTTTTTTCCTTTGGAAACGGGTCCAAGTGGCTCTTTATGTCTTAAAGGTTGCAGACCCCTGGACTAAGGGAATTGTTTGGTGAATCTTTAGATTCATATAGATAAAAGGCAATTTTGGTTCATGTAAATAAAAAAGTCATGAACATTATTGTTGCTAGTAAATGGAGAGATCTGAGGATACAGTTTATAATGTCTTTCAATAGCAGCCAAACCCTGGATACTCATCCATGTTCTCTTCCAATTAGAAGGAGCACCGAAGCTGACCTTCCTGTACAACTAGGACGTTTATGGAAATCTACCTCCTGAAGCAGAGCCAAGGGTGCTAAGGAAACGCTGCATGGAAAACGCAAACCCAAGCGAGCATGTTAGTCTTTCTAGGGCGTGTGAAAGACATTCTTTAAATGAGATGTTAACTGGTGTGGTGTTGAGAGAACCACAAAAATCCAAGACAGATTGGGAGGACCATGTGCTTGGTCTTTTCTTTCTGGCCCTGGATAAGGTGAGGAGACCACAAAGGACTTGCCAAAGCCACTAAACTTTTACTCCATAAACAATTCCCAATGTGAAGTGAGCCCCTAGAAGTGGTCTAAGAGGAGGAAGCTATTACTGGTCAGCTGCAGAGGAAAAGGGTTGTAAAGTTCACAGTCAAGTACAGTCTACTAGCAGTAACAACCCAGGAATGGCTCCTGAGTTTAGGACTCCAATTTGTACCCATTGCTTCACAGTAGTTTTTATAATGGCGCAGAATAATGCTGTCACCAAAAATGAACTTTGCAGGAATGCTGTACCTGGTTAAATAAAACAGTGCTTATTTATAAACAAAGAGGATTTTATAATCCAAAGAAGCAGGGTGTATGCAGAAAGTAGGAAAGGAAGGAAGAGGAATTACTTACCTGTGCTATATTTTTGTTCAGAAGATAGACACCATAATCAAATTGCAATTTCTCCCCGCCTTTGGGGTATAATGGGAACCTAGAAAAGGTAAAGTAGGGTCAGAAGTTTTCAAAAACTTGAGTTAAAACAGTCTCAAGGTTGTTGACGAAGGTGGGAATTTCTTGGGTACAGCATAAACATCTAAATACTTGAACTAAATTACTTATAGTCTTTGCAACCTATTATCTTAATATCGTCATTACATTATCAAATCAGAACAATGGCTGCTTTGTTTCAAATAAAAAACTAAATAGGTCATGCAACAGGGGATTAATATATTAGAAAGTGGCTCACTAACCTCAAGGCGTTGAGACCATTATGTTCCATATTTACATATCATAACCTTATCACCCTAAGAATAAGACTCTAAAAAATTTTCCCTCTAATACTTTGGACCCAACATCTCAACTACTAAATGAGAAAGGAAAATTAAGGAAAAAAATCAGACATAAAAGCAATCTATACAATTTGTTTCATTTAAGATAGCCAGTCAAATCAACAGCATCAATACGAGTGAAAATGCATTAAAAATTCATTCATATTCACAAGGGTAGCTACTTGTATGTTATGTCTCCAAAGCAATGTACTCATGCCATAGATTCTCCTAAGACTTTCCATTTTAACCTGAATCACAGGAGCAACAAAGATCTGTGGATCTTTATAAATAAAGATAATGAATTATTTTAGGAAATAAGTTTCCCTCATTATTTCCCTTTTCCTACTCCTGCAAATGAAGAAAGGGTTACAGTACACTACTTACTCATATTTTCCTATTCTCAAGACCAAGCCTACATTTTATCCTCTCGAGTAGATTTTATTACAAACAGATCATTCACAACATAGATAGGGTTAAGAAGAAAACGGCGCCATATTTAGTTTTGTAATTATTCTCAAAACTAAAATTATCTTATTGAAAGGAATGGCAGGTGATAATTACTGAATTCTGAATTTCAACTGCCTGAGGAAAAGATATATCCCATAAAGTCTGGGGTTAATGTTTTCTAAGGAAAATAGAAGGAAACTGAATTTAAAAGCTATATATTAAATTCCCGAAAGGTGATAACATAGTGTCCAAAAGGTGAATCTGTTGAGCTGTAAATGCACAAGCACTGGAGAGTGAGCAAGATGATGAATTGTTTTTATTCTGCACTGTAGGAACACCAAATGCTTTACACACCCACTGGGAAGATAACAGGTTTGTACTTAACAGAAGCAGTAACACATAAACTATGATATGTGCTTTGGTTCTAAATTGAAATGCATAAAAATGACAGCAAAGCAAACTCAGGATAAGCAAAGTGCAATACCAGGCTTTCACAGGGTGAAAGAATCATTAAATTTGTGTTGGGTAGTTGCAAAGAAACTAGCCAAGTGGAAGAACTAACAACACGGGGCACTTTGGAAGAAATCTAGTAGGGCCCTAAAGCTTTGCACTTTGTATAATAATTGGTATTCTTTCTAGAAACCATCACATGTAGACTATCTGCATAGCTGTCCAAATGCACAAATATTAATTATAAATACAGAAAGGGTTTCAAATGTCAAAAGAGTACACTGAGATAGACATGCATTGAAAACAAAGCCTCTAAATTCCTGAACAAACAGATTTCACAACACCAGCTTTATTATTTCATTGGGACTTCATTATAGAAAGAACCACAAGGTGTATATGTAACATTAAAACAAATCTAAAGAGTGATTAGAGCCAAAGGTTCAAACAGGGCAATTTAAAATTTTTACTACGCGTACTAAGATGACTTCTGCCCACAGTAGTAGAAGAAAGGTGACAGTACATAGTCAATGGCTCTGAAGCTATGACTTCACTTCAAACTCAACACGCTTTTCCTGTCCCCATTACTTTTCCACCACAACTTTTATCAGTTACTCAGGCCCCGAGTAACATTCCATTTTACGCCTTCTTTGCTTTTTATATGTGTGGTGATTCACCAAGTCAACAAATTATTTTTCCTGTGAAACAAGCTTATCTCTCCATTCCCACCGCCAATCCGGAAAATTCTTTGTTGTTCTGTGCACTGTAGATATTTAGCAGCATTCCTGTCCTCTACTGACTAGAAACGGTATTATTATTTAAGACTTTTTTTGGTCACTTCTCAGCCCTGCTTCCTAATCAGTCAGTGTCTTAAATTTTAAGTTCTCTGCCTAGCTTTCAAGGCCCAACTGATCCATTGTGTCCGCCTGATTTATCTGCAACCTCATTATGCTCCTGAACACACCAGGTTCGTCTCCCTCTGCCTTTGCTCTCTTCCTGGAAATGCCCATCTCTCTTTCCTTCCATCTGGCAGAGTAAGTAAAAAATACCATGCTTCACTTCGTCTAAAAAAAAGACTCACATTTTTCTACTAAGTTGCACATCATTAAAGCTTTATCTAGAACTCATTTCAGGTTGATGATAATGCATGAAACCATAGGCAGGCCAGAGGCAGACAAGATGGGAAATGGCTGGAGCAGAGTAAGAGGGAAAAGGAAAAGGAGTAAAATCAGCAAAGTTAACGGGTCCAGACTGTTCAGGTCTTGAGGATCACAGCAAAGACTTTGGCATTTACTCTGAATGAAAGGGGAGGAAGTTCTGGAGGATTCTGAAAAGAGGAGGGACAGGGATACTTCGGCTGCTCTGTGAGAAAAAATTACTGGGGAGCAATAAAGGAAACAGGGAGAGGCGACTACAAAAATCCAGGGAAGAGAAGAGAGTGGTTTAAACCAGGATGGCAGCATGGAGTGGTGAGAAGAGGTGGAATTCTCATATTTTGAAGGAAGACCAGTGTGATTTGTTGACAGAGCTCATATGAGGTCTGAGAGGGGAGAAGTCAAAGATAACTCCAAATATTTTTGGCTTAAGTAACCGACACAATGGAGTTGTCATCTTAACTTGAATAAAAAGTACAGGTGACATTTGAATGAAATGCTAGGGACTGGGGTGAAGAATATAGTATGAGGACTCAGTGCTAAAAGATTAGGCTGAAGAGTCACAGGGACCTGACTGTGCGAGTTCCTCTACAACATGGACATCCATCTAGAATATAACCTTAGGACAGTGGTCGGCAAACTCATTAGTCAACAGAGCCAAATATCAACAGTACAACGAATGAAATTTCTTCTGAGAGCCAAGTTTTTTACACTTAAACTTCTTCTAACGCCACTTCTTCAAAACAGACTCGTCTAGGCCATGGTATTTTGTGGAAGAGCCACACTCAAGGGGCCAAAGAGCTGTACGTGGCTCTCGAGCCGCAGTTTGCCGACCACAACCTTAGAACAATGTGAGGGTAGTTAAAAAATTTTAAAGCATGGAAGTGCCAGGATTAGGGTTTCTTAAAGACCACTGTTGTACAGTGTCATAAATAAAGGGGAACAAACCTGGTTAGAAGGTTGCTTCAATGCTCTAGGCCAGAATAGTGATAGTTTTTGTTACAATTCCAACAATGAAGAGGAACATATATGAATAGATCTGAGCTATAATTTATAGGCAGAAATGACAAAGCTTTGGTTCTGATAGTGGCAAAGACAAAGATGATGCTTTGGTTTCTCTACTGAGTGACTAGGCATATCTTAGTGTCTATGAACTGAAATAGAGAACTCTGGGGGAACAGCAGTTGTATATATTAAACCCATATATTATATATGTTTATACTTATTATATAAAGTTTATTATATGTAAAGTTAGTAGAGGAATTTGGGGTGAATGTATCAACTAAGCAATCATAAAAATTTAGATGGAAGCTGAAGCCATAGGTATGAGTGTGGTAGCCTAAAGAAATCACAGAGGAGAGGGCTGTCTCAGAGCTTTGGGAATATCAACAAGGGATTGGGAAATGAAAAGTCAGAAAAGGAATGGTCAGAAAAATTTTAGAGAAACCAAGTGTCTCACCAGAACAGCTCATAGAAAGTGTTAATTTAAGAAGGAAGATATCATCAGTAGTCAAATGTTGCTGACAGGTCAAGCAAAACAGACATGAAAACATGTCTGTTGCCTGTAATTACATGAGTTCATTGGTAGGTAGCTTCGGTAATATGGTAAACACAAGTTTCAATGAAGTAGTGGGAGATGAAGAAAGACTGCAATGAGTTCAGGAGTGACTGCAAGTGAGGAAATGGAGATGATGAGAAGTCTGGCATAGAAAGGAGAGCTCAGTAACTGGAGGAACATGATGAAGCAGAGCAGAAAGAATGTCCTGAGAAGGTGAGAGGGGACAGGCTCTTCATCCTATAGGTGAGAGTGCAAGTGAAGGATTTGCCTTAGATGGTAGGTGGGACAACTCTCCTAATAGAACAGGAAGGATGAATGAAAATAAAGTTTATTCATTCAACAAATTTTTACTGTGTGCTATGTATGGTGCTAGGTGGTAGAGATATAATAAGGGTGGACAAACACAGATAATACAGCAGAATCCAGTAGACAGACATTGCTCATATAATCTTACTAGCAAATGTATAATTTATGAATTAAGTACTCTCTGAAGAAAGGAACACTGTTCCAGAAGAGATAGATAAGACTGAGAATCAGGGAAGACTTCTGAGAGAAAGTGACACCTTAGTTGAGATCTCAGAGATGGAAGGAATGTTCCAATGAAAGAAAGTAGCCTATGTAAAGGCCCTATGGCAGGAGGAAGTACACTGCTTCAATAAATCAGAAGAAGAACAGTATCGTTGGACTGAGGGGCTTGTGACAAGAGATGAAGTTACAGAAGGATAGATTATGTAGGGCCTTCTGGACCATGTCAGTTCATAAAAGGGGCGGGGGGGGGGAGGAAGGACTTTAAACAAAAGTATAAAGTATAATGTGCTCAGATTTGCATCTGATACCTTCCTTCTTAAATGAACCCCCCTTCTCTTTTAGCTTTCCTAATCATTTTTGAAAAAATTATGCTGATCACAGTGGAGAATCGTTTAGAAAAGGTAAGACCAGCTTGCTGCAGTAATCTAGGTGAGAAATCATGGTGGCTTGGACTAAGGTGGTGGTACTAGAAATGGAAAAAAGGAGACTAATTTAGAAGTCTTCTAGGAGATAAAATCATGAGATTTGA